CTCAAGATTTAGAAGATCTTGTGTTGGTATATTCCTTTTATTATTATTTTATTATTTCATTATTATTTAATAATAGTATTAGGATTCGAATCTAGGTGGAGGGGTTTTTCTTGGTTGAATATAGAAAAAGAAGACTACCTTTTTTTGTTGTGCTTCGCTAGGTCGAGGTAAGTAAGGTATACGAAGGGAAAGCCTATTTGACAATGAAAGTGACCAAAGATATTCATTTTTCAAAAAACTTTAGCTTGTACACAAATACAGCAGGCCTTTCCTAAATCCATGTGAATTCCTCTTCGTAGTTTTGCATTTCACCAGGCCCGTGAAATGAGTTGACTTCCAAAATTCAATAAGATTGGGGATATCAAAAGAAAGGGAATCTCACTAATTCTTTTATTGTGGATATGAATATGTAATTCGCCTCCGAAGATTAATGCCGAAAGGTTGGTTTGTTTATCTGCAATTGCAAAAATCAATATCTATTGGATCCATTGATATGCGTTTTTTCTTTCATCTGCTTAAACGATTGCCGTGAGTAAACTTATAGGAATAATTGGATTTCATTTAGTTACAAGCAAGAAATAATAATGAAGAAATGCAAATTATACAAAAAAAATTGCATTTTTCATTTTCATAGGGCTATACGGACTCGAACCGTAGACCTTCTCAGTAAAACAGATCAAACTTATTATTTTAAAATGATCTGAACTGTTTCAAAGACCCAACATGCATTTTTTTTTTGCATTGGGCTCCTTCATTAACTGATCTAAATATCAGTTGGTCTGCCATTTTTTTTCTTGACAGAAAAAAAGATATGGAAATGGCTCCATGTGCTCTGATTCATTATTTGGGAGCATTACCAAAGTGTTTCAAATGTGGGATTATCTTGACGTAGGTCTGTCTCTGGCCTAGATCAACCTAAGTTAAATGAAGTCTCTATCATTCTGCTTAAAAATCAAATATGAAACTTCATACACCTTAAAGTTCATATGCCGAAAAGAGATTTTTTTGAGGTCCTTATACTCATTATGCCTAGCATTGAATAGACTAGGTATTCACCTTATCAAGATCTCAAATCAATGATGGGGTCTGTTTGGCACCTCCTAAATGGGTGTCCAAATTGGACCGAACCTTTGTCAGGCTATGGTTCCCTCAAAGTTATGGAGTAAGACATTGATTTCTCAACAAGTTCAATTTTTCTGATTGTATGATGAACTCCCTTGAAAAACATTGGCGCGCATGTAAACGAGTTGCTCTACCAACTGAGCTATAGCCCTAGTGCTTGTGATACATATTTTATCATGTAGGTAAATTCTTGTCAAGAGAAATATTCCATGATCCAACATCAAGAATCTTTGATCTCTTTGAGTGGTATTCCTTAGATTAGTATTGCTTATAAGTAATATGATATTTATAATCCATCGACAGGATGGGTTTCATTTGGTTCTCTTTGGGATGATAAATGACCTACTTAACTCAGTGGTTAGAGTACTGCTTTCATACGGCGGGAGTCATTGGTTCAAATCCAATAGTAGGTAAAAGTTATTAGATACCAGAGTCAATGGTATCTAATAAGGTTTACAACCCACCTTTAGTGATATTTATTTTTTGATTTTGTATCTTTTCTATTTCATTTTTTAATTTGAATTTTTGCATCAGAATTGGATTCTGTTTGATTGTATTCACCCGACAGAATCTAAATAGGATTAGAAAGAGAACTTCTTTTTATTATTCGAACGTACCAACTAGTTATGAAATCGGATTGCTAGCCTCCACCCGTGTTCTAGCTCGTCGGAGAGCTAGATTTGCCTCAATTTTTTGCCTCCTTCCTTCAGCCTTTTTCACATTAGCTTCCGCTATTTCAAGAGTTTGCTGAGCTTCTTGTGGATTAATGTCACTACCCTTCTCCGCATCATTTACTAAAACAGTGATCTCATTATTTCCTATTCTAGCAAAACCACCCATCAGAGCCATCGTTAACCATTGGTCGTTAAGGCGTATTCTCAAAATCCCTATATCTACAGCTGTGGCAATAGGGGCGTGATTTGGTAATATGCCAATTTGACCACTATTAGTAGATAAAACAATTTCTTCCACTTCTGAATCCCAAATAATTCGATTAGGGGTCAGTACACTAAGATTTAAGGTTATTTCTTCAAATTGCTCTCCATTTCTAAGTTCATAGCCTTCGCGGTAGCTTCATCGATAGTACCTACCAAATAAAAGGCCTGTTCAGGAAGACCATCTAATTCTCCGGAAAGGATCAATTGAAATCCTTGAATTGTTTCTGCTAGACCAATATATTTCCCTGGAGAACCGGTAAATACTTCTGCTACAAAAAAGGGTTGTGATAAGAAACGCTCAATTTTTTATGCTCTTGCTACGAGTAAACGATCCTCTTCAGATAATTCATCCAATCCAAGGATAGCTATAATGTCCTGAAGTTCTTTGTAACGTTGTAAAGTTTGCTTAACTCTTTGGGCGGTTTCGTAATGTTCCTCACCAACGATCCGAGGTTGAAGCATGGTTGACGTTGAATCTAAAGGATCTACTGCTGGATAAATACCTTTGGCAGCCAATCCTTTTGATAGTACGGTAGTAGCATCTAAATGTGCAAATGTCGTAGCATGAGCAGGGTCGGTCAAATCGTCTGCGAGTATATAAACTTCTTGAATAGAGGTTATGGACCCGTCTTTGGTAGAAGTAATTCTTTCTTGTAAAGAACCCATTTCGGTACTTAGGGTCGGTTGATAACCCACAGCGGAAGGCATTCTACCCAATAAGGCCGATACTTAGGATCCTGCTTGGACGAAACAGAAGATATTGTCAATAAATAGAAGTACGTCTTGCTCATTAACATCTCGGAAATATTCTGCCATAGTTAGGGCAGTCAAACCAACTCTCATACGAGCTCCCGGCGGTTCATTCATCTGACCGTAAACTAGGGCCACTTTTGATTCTGCAATATTTTCTTTATTAATCACTCCAGATTCTTTCATTTCCATGTAAAGATCATTTCCTTCCCGAGTACATTCACCCACTCCGCCAAATACGGATACGCCCCCGTGAGCTTTAGCAATATTGTTAATCAATTCCATAATGAGTACTGTTTTACCCACTTCAGCTCCCCCGAATAGTCCGATTTTTCCTCCACGGCGATAGGGGGCTAAAAGATCAACTACTTTAATTCTTGTTTCAAAAATAGATAATTTTGTATCCAACTGTATAAAGGCGGGCGCAGATCTATGAATAGGAGACGTTGTACTAGTATCTACAGGCCCTAAATTATCAACAGGCTCTCTGAGCACGTTAAAAATTCGTCCCAGAGTCGCTCCCCCGACTGGAACACTTATAGGAGATCCTGTGTTAATCACTGCCATTCCTCTCGTTAGACCGTCTGTAGCACTCATAGCTACAGCCCTAACTCGATTATTTCCTAATAATTGTTGTACCTCACAAGCCACATTAATTTGTTGACCAACACTATCTTGACCTTGAACTACCAGAGCGTTATAAATATTTGGCATCTTGCCCGGGGGAAAGGCTACATCTAGTACCGGACCGATAAAGGATATATTTAATGCATATATATATGCATAGGACTAGCTGCTTCAATGGGATCTTTTATCCTGGCCGGAGGACAACTTACCAAACGTATAGCATTCCCTCACGCTTGGCGCCAATGAGGTTTTTATTTGAGAGAAAAAAGAAGACTATGCCTTCGCCATATGAATACTAAGTAATAATAGCATGGCACTTCAAATTCGATATGAGAAATTTTTGTATTGTTTTTTTTTCAAAACATTAGATTCTGTATCGAGAGAGTAGTATGAGATAAGGGGTATTTTCGATTTTCTCTTACTATCGGGAATTCAGTTCAGCGACACAAACTTATTTGTTTTCATGCCGGAGAGTTCTTAACAATATTTATGTTATGAAAGAGTACGAAAAAAAAATATTTTTTCCTTATTTGATCGGATTAAAAAGAAACTTTGGGATTGCTGAATCACAGACAAAAAAAAGAAAAAATAAACATATAAAGCAACGGAGCCATCATAGTATTTTTGAACTCCTCCGAAAGGAAGGATGGGAATTTGATTATTTACCCATCTGAGTCTGATAGATTCTATTTTCTCTTTCTTCAATAGAAAGGAGGGGGGTCAATTTTCTTGTAGAGCCGTATACACAAAAGATGCCTGTACGGTTGTTCAATTCTATCTTTTTTCTATTCTTTATCTTTCTTTTCTCTTTGCTTTATCATGCGAGATAGGGGAAGCTTTTATTTTGTTATATCATCAGGGTAATGATACATGAACCTTATAGTGCTTTTTATATGGCACAAGTAGGTGAATTTGTCATGAAAGCGGTAGAACTGATGAAACTGCGTGAAACCCTCACAAGGGTTTATGCAGAAAGAACGGGCAAACCCTTCTGGGTTGTACACGAAGATATGGAAAGAGATATTTTTATGTCAGCAACAGAAGCCCAAGCTTATGGAATTGTTGATTTTGTAGCGGTTCAAGGAAAATAACATGGATTTCGTGCAAATCTGTGATTTGAGATTTTATCTTCGAATTGAATATTCTATTAAATAGAAGTAATTCACCATCATTCGGTTAGGATCAATCTAAACCAACCCATCATATTATGTATACGATTCAACATGCCAACTATTAAACAACTTATTAGAAATACAAGACAGCCAATCAGAAATGTCACGAAATCCCCCGCTCTTCAGGGGTGCCCTCAGCGTCGAGGAACATGTACTAGGGTATATATGCGACTCGTTTAGATCATGAGCTGGCACAAAAGCAAGAAAACTACTTTTACAGTATCAATGATCAGTACCAGTGAATGGGATAGGATGGAAAAAGGACTCCATCCATTATTAAAAAAAAAAAACTCTACCATATCCCTCTATTGTGTATAAAGTTTATGGTTTCCGTTGGTGTAAATCCAATCACCTGAATTTAAGATGATAAGAAATTCTCCATTGGTAACAAATGGTTATCCATTAAGCGGAGGAAATCTTATTTAAACGGACTAAGAGGGTCAGCTACCCAGCAAACTTTCATAATTAAATACCGTTACTGTATAGGTAGATTGATTGTGAAAGACCTATTACTGGATAATTCATGGGTAGAGCCAAAGCGTGTGAACTATACAAGTTCCCAATAACATCAATTAGTTGATTAAATAGTAAATTAAAGTATAAAGTAAAGGCTCCGGTGTATAGAGATGACCTCACCGTTTAAGAAGTAACCATAGAAACGAAGGAACCCACTATTTCTTTTTTTATTTCTTTTATATACTATATTTTTGATACCTAGGAAAATACAATTTCTTAGTTCTGTCTTATTTCGCAGTGAAATACCTAAAAAAAAAATTGTGGTCGGGAAGGTTAGAGTAGCCAAAGCCATTGGAATTTTGATTTTATACATTGGAAAAATTGTTTTGTTATTAATAGACTAGGAAGGGGGAAAATAATAACTGAAAGAAAGGCAATCAATTAGTTATTCGTCAAAGTTTCATTTAGTCAATGACCAGAATTAAACGAGGATATATAGCTCGGAGACGTAGAACAAAAATTTGTTTATTTGCTTCAATCTTTCGAGGGGCTCATTCAAGGCTTACTAGAACTATTACTCAACAAAAATAAGAGCTTTAGTTTCGGCTCATCGGGATAGGGATAGGAAAAAGAGAGATTTTCGTCGTTTGTGGATCACTAGGATAAACACAGTAATTCGCAAAGGGGAGTATCCTATAGTTATAGTAGATTAATACACGATCTGTACAAGAGACAGTTGCTTCTTAACCGTAAAATACTTGCACAAATAGCTATATCAAATAGGAATTGTCTTTATATGATTTCGAACGAAATCATAAAGGAAGTAGATTGGAAAGAATCCACCAGAATAATTTAAATGGAGTTACCCGGAGAATGAACTCCGGGAAGGTAGAGTAGAAATTAGTATGAGAAAATATACTAAAGTAGTCAAAATGAATGAACACGTTCAATTCAATAAAAACATATTTCTTTTTTTCAGATTCATTTTTTCTTATGACACGATACTCAAATCTAGATTCACTCAAATCTAGATTCTTGTAATTATGATTCAAGTGAAGAAAAAGTAAGCCTATTTATTTCAGGCTTTAAAACCAGTAGTTCTAGCGGTCGACTCGGTTCTTTCAAATTGTTTCTCATTATTGAGAAAAGGTAACAAAGATAAAATACGAGCTTGTTTTATAGCAAGAGTAATTAATCGTTGTTGTTACAAGGTCAATCTATTCACACGTCTTGATAATATTTTTCCTTGTTCACTAATAAATCAACTAATTAAACTCATGTTTCTATAATCAATTCGATCCCCCGATTGAATCGGGGGCAAACGCCTACGAAAAGATCGCTTGAATTTAAGAAAAGGTCGCTTGGATTTATCCATGGTTTGTTTGTTTAATTTATTCCTTATCCCTAAAATCCTATTTCTTCATTCTAATTCATTTTAAATCCACTCAAAATATGATTTTTCAAAAATAGGATTTGTTTATTTTCTATTTAAATATGTTATATATATAATGTCATTTTTTCCCCTTCCTTGAAAGGGTAAGACACAGGTACTTGGTTCGCTCTATTTCTTTATCTCCCCATGAATCGTATGTTTGTAACAATAGGGGCAGAATTTTTTCAATTCAAATTGATTAGGCGTATTGTGCCGGTTCTTTTGAGTAATATATCTGGAAATACCTCTTGATACCTTATCAACACTGTTTCGGACACAACTAGTACATTCCAAAATCACCGTTACTCGGACATCTTTCCCTTTGGCCATGAACCTCCTTTGGATTTTTGATTTACTCAACTCTTCTATTTTTGATTCAAAACGAAGAAAGGATAAAATAGAAATTACTAACTTGAAATCCAATTCTAAAAGTCAAAGATTAAAATCACGAAAATAAATTAATAGTAAAGCAAAGTCATAGTAAAATACAACGATTTTTCTAAAGGATATTTCAAATTGAAGTAATCATTTAAGTATCTTGTATAATACTCTTGCCCTAGACCCCCATTTTCTATTCTACCCCCATTCCTCTATGATTAATATTCAGTTAATTCGAACTTAAGCCCGAATGTTGAATCGACTTTT